TCATATACTCATTGAGTTCGTTGAAAGCCTTGTCACATTCTGCAGTCCAGGTGATGTTTCGCTTGTTACCCTTAAGTGTCTTGAAGAATGGGGCGCATCGATCAGTGGCCTTGGAGATAAACCTGGTCAGGGTCACGACGCGTCTGGTAAGGCTCTGGATGTCTTTGATCGTTTTGGATATCTTCATGTCTAAGATGGCCTGAATCTTTTCTGGGTTAGCTTCAATACCCGGCTAGCTAATCATGAAGACAATGAATTTTTCCGAAGCTACGCCAAAGGAACACTTCGGGGGGTTGAGCCTCATTTTATACTGTTTCAGGATGGTGAACATGGCAAATAGGTTAGAGATGTGCTGGTTAGCAGTACGACTTTTGAATAGCATGTCATCGATATGAAACTCCATGGTGTTGCCAATCAGTGGGGTAAAGATGTTGTTCACAAGATGCTGATAAGTAGCCCTAACGTTTTTTAGGCCGAAGGGCATAACCTTGCAGCAGTAGAGGTCACGGTCGGTGATGAAAGATGTATGGGTTTGGTCATCAGGGTGCATGAAGATCAGGTTGTACCCTGAGTAAGCATCCATGAAGCTAAGGAGGGCGTGGCCAGCTATGGCGTCAACAAGCTGGTTGATTTGAGGTAAAGGGAAGCTGTCCTTCGGGCAAGCCCGATTAAGGTTGGTATAGTCTACACACATGCGCCAGTCTTTCTTTGGTTTATGTACCATCACCACATTAGCTAGCCATGTGGGATAGTCCACCTTCTTGATGAATCCAATACTGCTTAGCTTATCCACCTCCGCATTCATGGCCTCATACCTCTTTGGGTCATAGGCATGACGCTTCTGCCGAACAGGGCAGATAGGAGGATTAATGCTTAGCCGATGAGAAATAACATCAGGGGATATACCAAGCATATTGTTGTAAGACCAGACAAAGACCTCTTAATTAAGGCGAAGGAATGCCACGAGGTCAGAGCCAAGCTTCTAGGAGAGGCAGGTGCCGATCCGGGATGTCATCATGGAGGCAGACAAGCTCGAGGTCTTCCACGGGTTTGGCCTGCTGTGTAACCGATTCCTCCCTGGGGTCCTCAGGTCGTTCGGTGCCAGTTCGAGAAGGGGCTGAAGCCTTGGTTAATGCTAGGGCCTCACCCCTATGCTGGTGATTGGTGGACTTGACTTCAAAAGTAACAGCTTCGGGCGTCAAGTTGGTCGCCACGCATTGTGCTCATGCCCTGGGAAGTGGGGAACTTCAGTAGTAGCATATGCGTGGAAATGAAAACCTTTATTTGCTCCAGGGCAGGGCGTCCTAGGATGACATTGTAAGCTGTGGGGCAGTAAATGATAAGAAAGGGAGTGGTGATTGTCTCCCACTAGGGTGCTGAACCAATAGAGATAGGAAGATGGATGCTGCCAATGGGCTGAACAACATCGTTATAGGAGCTCACAAGGGGTTTGATGATTCGGTCTATCAAGTGAGTAGGGACTTGGAGCTCGTTGAAAGTATCAGCAAACATTACACTGACCGAGCTGCCAGTGTCCACCAGAATACGCCCAATATTGAAGTTAGTAATGTCCGCGCGAATAATGAGTGGGTCGTCATGTGGGAGAATGACACCACGTTCTTCCTCCTCGCATAAGGTGATGGGGGCCCAGCTTGATTTTTGTGTCTTAGGCAGGCATCTGTGCTCAGTGCTGAAGAATTAGTGCGCATAAGAAGAACGAACATAGTGTTTAATGGAGTTATTGGAGGTTTCGGCCAACGTGGGACCACCGCTGATGGTGGAGATCATGTTGATATGTCTTTGGTGAGGGTTAGGTGAGGGGTGGGAAGTTGTGCACATATTTATCCAACTTCCCCTCACGAATAAGTCCTTCAATGATGTTGCTTAAGGCAACACAAAATTCGGTATCGTGGCCACTGAACTGATGAAAATGACATAAGACACCTGTGTTTGGCATAAGCTTGTTGGTTAGTCTCCTAGGGAGAGGCTTGGGTATCATGAGTGCCTCGTGCATTAGGACATTCTCATAGGTGGTATTGAGGGTGGTGAAGACCTCAAACCTAGGCTTGGGTGTGAAGGGGAGTGGGGCCCGATCACTTGTCCTGGAAGGGTTACTTCCACTGGGCTGGAAGTGGTTTGCCACGCTTGCTATTGTTGAAGGTATGCTGGTAACTATCCTTCTTTTTTTGGTGCGGGGTACCTTAGTTATCTGGGGCGGGAGTAGAACGCTGAGGTGGGGCTGGGCTAGGTACCGAAGCATGTGAAGGATCACCAAAGGTGCTGTGTGCAGAGGTGGCTAGGTTATGCTTGGAGTTGAAATACTCGGCCTTAGCATGAACGGCTGCCTGCTTCATTAGCTCTGCATATGTGTTCCAAGGGTTGCTGTGGACCAAGTACCAAAAGTTGGACTCACGGAGTCCACTCTTGAAAGCACCGAAAGAAGCGCGATCGTCAATCTTCGAGCAACGAGAATACTCATGGCTGAAGCGGGCTGCATATTCCCGAATGGGTTTATCCTCACCCTGCCGAAGCATGTACAAGTCATCTGCGGAGTACAGGTGATCGGTCTGGATCATGAAATGATCTAGGAAGGTATGCTTCAGACTATTAAATGAGTTGATGGTGCGGGAGTTCAGCTGTAGAACCAATTCAGGGCCGCGCCACTAAGAGTGGAAAGGAAAATGAGGCACATGCCTTCGTCAGTGAAACCCTTGCATCCGAGGGCAGACTGGAAAGAGTATATGTGGGTAAGAGGATCTTCCGTGCCAGTGGCTGAATGTCCTTCTCCTAGTGGTAATTGAGGATACGTTCGGTAAAAGGCCCAGGTCGTGGCTTCGCCCAGAGGGGCTGGTAGCTCCTGTGTTGCTCACTCTCTAGATGCCAAACCTTCTAAAAAATAAGCCTCATGGTCGGGTCGGCATGAGGAAGAGTGTCGGGTACTAAAGGCCTGGGGTGTGGGTTGGCAAGGGCTTGGTAAGGTTCCCATTCTTCGAACGCCTTGGTATGATACAATTCCCAGTCATCTAGATGGTAAGACTACCAATTATCCGAGTCCCCTGCACCTTCTCCAGCAAGTAGGTGAGTTGGCTTCGGTGGGGGGCCTAGGTGTGCTACCATTGGGTCCTTGAGATTAACAGGAATAGGGATAGGGTCTGTCTGACGGTCCAAGAGACGGTCCTTGCAATCTTTATAGATTTTGACTAGTTCATGGAGCTGGTCATTCCGTGGGGAGATGTGAAGGAGCCATGACTTGGTTGTCTTTGGATGGAGGGGGCCTTTACCCTTACTGAGCCTAGACTGGACTGGGGCACTATGGTGGGAGTGCACTAGCTGGTTTGGCTGGGTATGCTCAGCATCCTGAGTAAAGTCATGTTGGGAGCCTTAAGGATGAGTCCTCTCCCAGTTACGCTTCAGGTCGATATTTTTGGTATGGAGATGTTCGTATTTCTTGGACATCTTGGCAACGCTGGTGCAGATAAGCTCTACTTCTGCCTGGAGATTGGCATCTGCTGAAGGTTTTCTTCGGAAAGTACCTTTGTCGGGGGTGTGGTGCTGAGTATCATGGCTATCCTCGGTCGGCATAGCAGAGTGTGGGGTAAAGAAGAGGCGACGGGGCCTGACAGGAGAAGGAGTCAGCTGGGCTGGTAGAGGAAAATGGGATTCAAAGGTTGTTTCCCACAGACGGCGCCAAACTGTTGATGCTCTTTTTGGGAGGTCAACTTAAAGAGAAATGAATAGTATGCAGCAGGAGGGAAGGTGAGGACCTTCAGCAAGGGAATGGTCTGCATAAGACAAAGTAGGAGAAGCAGTCGTTAAGCTTCGGACACCGGTGTGATGCCGGCCGAAGGCTCTCCGATGCTTAAGTCAACTATGAGTGGTAAAATTGGCAGAGTAATAGTAAAAGTGATAGAGAAGTTACCCTTTTTACTTGGGTATTGTTCCCTATTTATAGGGAAGTGAAAGTGGGAGGTTTGCACAAAGTTTCGATGTGGGACTTTGTGCAAGCCACTATGATGGTGACTCGTGTCCTTGGAGATTAGATTCGGCAGTTGAGAGCTTCGGCAGGTGTCTGGCACCTCGGAAGAGTGTCTTCCTTCGGCAGTGGAGAATGCGTGTCTGCCTTGGTGCTAGTCGTTTTGAGGTTGGATATACTCGGTTGATTATGGTGTAAACAAACTTGTCAATGGTAAGGTGAGAGTGCGTCTCTCCAAAAAGCAAACAAAAAGAAAGCCATTTTATGTCTGTCTTGCTTTCTGCAGAATTCATCTCTTATTTGAGCGATGGCTATCTTTTTTGAATGTGCTTGTCATAGTAATTAGAATGATTTTCTGAGAATGTGAAACATTATCCGTCACTCTGACTCTCTTAATATTCACACTTTTATAGTTTTCACGTTAATAAAGTTGGGAAGAATTTGTGACTGTTGCATATTGCAACATTTGCATTTCCATGTTGGGGAGAATTTTGCTCTCGTATCGCAAACAACAACCTACAAGAGGATCTTGTTGCACATCTTTGGGCGAAATGAGCACTAGAATGATGAGCGGCCTTGTGACATTAGCTAGTCTTTTGTGTTTGTAACAAATAATAATTTACAATACTTTGTCATGTTGAAGTCCTTGTTTTGTTTTAAAAACAACTTTAAAATTAAGTTAAATAGAAAAAAAAAAAATGAAGGATAGTTTGTAAAAGAATGAAAAGATTGTGAGAAATTATGTAAAATGATGAAATTGAGGATAATATGTGAAATGATGAAGATGTTGTGAGAAAATATGTAAGAATGAGGTAGATATTTATAAATTAAAAAAATTTAGGATTTTTTAAATAAAAGAAATCATTTTTTTCTGACTAAAAAAAAAAAAAACCTGGCCGACGTCACCTAACGGCTAGGAAGGCAGAAATTAATTAAAAAATTGGAAAAAAAACTCGGGGCTGTGAACCGTGGTTTTTCTATTTATTAATATATATATATATATATATTATTCTTTTTGTTCATTTTAACGTGGGACAATCGAAAAACAATTATTTTATACCTAGAAAGGCAGAAGTTGTAGCCGCCTTCGCTCTACTGTCTCCCTCTCGCCCCTGGACATCACCATTCCTGAGCAGTGAGTGAGATAGAGAGAGTATGAAGAGAAAAAATACTAGATTGATGAAAGAATATTTGTACAGAAAGAGCTTAGAAGGCAAAGAACGCCTTCTCTACGAGAACAAGCGCAAGATTAGGGAAGCTCTGCAAGGTTACCCTTTTATCTTTGATTTTCTGTTCAAGTTTTGTTTTAGGGTTAGTTGATTTTCTACTTAATGTTATTAAGATTTCAGAGGGACGGAGCCTTAGCCCACTACTAGCAACATCGATATTGTCCTCAATTTAATCAAGTTCATACTAAAGGTCTCGACTTTATTAGGAGGAAACTATTTATTACATGAGACTTTCTATTTTGTTAAGTTTCTAGTGTTAGCCTTGTGTATGCTTCAATAACCCTTAGTCCACCACTAGCAACATCGATATTGTCCAAAACTTAATCACATGTTTAGTAGATGTGGTATTTTATACAAAATACCTCAATTTTATTTGAAGTGAAACTATTTATTATATGAGACTTTCTATTTTGTTAAGTTTTCGACGTGTGACTTGTGCATTCTTCAACAAATTTGGGACACCTTTTGTTTTCTTGCAGAGGGTAAACCGATTCCCACTGAGCTTCGGAATGAAGAGGCGGAGCTTCGTCGAGAAATCGATCTCGAAGATGAGAACACTGCTGGTATATGAGTATATAGAAATTCTTTTTTCTCTTCTTTTGTTCTTTAGACCGCCAATGTATTTTTCTTGATGGTTCTGTTGGTTTTTAAAGAAGTAAAAAGGAAAACTGTGAGAAGAATGAATGGTTAAAGTTTATTTGATTTTCACATTATAGGTAAGGAAGTTGAAATTAAGAAATGAGGCTTAACAGGCTAGATAGATATGGGTCTTGTAGAAGACATTCTGTAAAAATTTGCATGTAGTGATGATGAGCCTGCACAAGTGCGCTTAGAAATTGGCTCTGTGTACATGATGTCTATAATTTAAAACAAATACTCGAAAAACTCTTGATACCCAACTGTCCTGTAATTTGTAGTTTTACATTTTATTATGTGGTCAATTCTTCCCTGTTTTCATTTTTGAATCCTAGTCCCAAGGACACATATCGACGATGAGTACGCAAAAGCAGCAGAAAGAGATCCCAAGATTTTGATAACTACTTCCCGGAATCCAAGTGCTCCTCTAGTACAATTTGCAAAGGTTGGCCTAGCCTCTTTCAATTTCTCTGGTTTATCTAGTTGCACTTTTGGTGTTCAATTTGTTGGTTCGTATTATTTGCTGCAAATTTGGTTTTGATTAGTGCTATTGTGGTTCACATAACACTTGTTGTAGGAACTGAAACTTGTTTTTCCTAATGCACAACAAATGAACCGTGGTGGTCAGGTTGGTGAACTTTTTGCCCAAACTTGTTCGGCTTATTTTCCTTTTCTTCCCTATTTGTTTTTACATAAATCATCGGTTTCTTGATGTGCATTTTCTAAGTTTTGCTTTTGTTTCTTTTTCATGTATATCAAATATATGCCCAGTGTGTGATAACAAAATTTATACTTGGAAAAATCGTACACCTCATGGGGTTTAGTCTGAAAATTAGGAGGTATGTTGGACGTTTTGGTGCTAGGAGTGTTTGTGAGATTGGGCTGGGATGTTCAGCTCCTCAACCCTGATCTGTTGAATCTTTTATATGAATGCAACAGTAAATTATTTCACAGTTCTATTTTTGATATGGACATTTAGTCTTTTGAAAATAATTTGTTCACCATTTTAAATATGTTGTAGGGAACTGACTAGCTCTTAGTCTACTGGTGTTTCTCTTCCTAATGTTGGAAGAGATCCCAAGTTTGAATGCCCCCTCCCTGATTTATAAAAAAAAAAGTTAATTTTTGAGACAACGCGACACCGGTAACAGAAATTAAGCATACTATGAAGTTAATCAATTAGGATGAATTATTATTTGCTTAACATGAACTCGTAACTGGCAAGACCTGCTAACAAAAAAATCCATGCACCTTGTAAAGCTTAGGATTTTTTAATTTTTATTTTATTGACTTTTAGCACCGAGAAAAAATAGATTTTTAGGAAGAGTCTATTGGTTATATGCTCAGTACAGAAATAAGATAAACAAAATGTTGTGAAAAAATCAACCTAATCGTTGCACTATTAGTAAAGTGGTTGTACTAGTAGTACAGTGGTTGGACTAGCGTTTCTTCTAAACATATTAATGTACAGGTTGTGTTTCTAAGTCCATAAAAGAATCCTAGACTCCAAAGCTCTGTCATTTCAACTTTTCCATAGGCACCAGAAAATAGAAAAGTTCCTGGAATTCCTTATTTGCAAATATTTTTTGTGCATGGTGCTGTTTCATTTCTGTTATGTGTCATGTGCTTAACCTTGCACTACTCGCATTAAGTCATTGGCACCAGGGCTGGCATTTTCTATCGAGATTCTGCAAAACCGCAATTTCACCACAACCAATCCGTAATGTTGCGAAATACCAACCATATATGTGCCTTTGATTTTCAGTTCAGTTTGTTCAGTCTTTTACTGTTCACCATTTGTTTGGTGTTGCTAGTATGTCTAGATTGACCCCTACATTTAAGAACATGGTGAATATCTCTTTTCCAGGCAAATGACCGCTTCAATTTTTTCTGATATTATTCTATTTATGTTAGATGTTAGAATTCTTTCTCGGCAGCTTATCACATTTGAGGATATACCTGCCATGGTTTTGATCCTTTGGTCTATTTTCCATAGTAAACTATCTAATTGACTTTAAGTGTTTTTCTCCCAAACCCTGCAGGTTATTTCTGAAATTATTGAAACTTGCCGTGCACATGATTTTACAGATGTTGTTTTGGTTCATGAAAATCGTGGCATACCTGATGGTTTGTTTATAACCCACCTTCCTTTTGGTCCAACGGCTTTTTTCGAACTGCGCAATGTGGTAAGTAGTGTAATGATCCATGTTAATGTAAAATAAATATTTGATATTAAAACTGACGTTTGACTGCAGAAAAAGAATCCAGACAACAGCAATTTTCCAGGGGTCTTCAGCAGAAAGGGAAAATTGAGGCAGAGATAGTGTTTTTAAAAGTGAAAGAAGAATGATGGTCTTTTTTCAATATAAAAGCATCAGCTTCCCAGACCAAAGGAACATAATAGGAAGAGCTGATAATGACAATTGAAATATGCCAATCATGATGAACATTGAAAATTAAACCAATTTAATTAATTAGATTTATGATCTTGATCATTTTTTGACCTTGTTGCTTTTTGACTATATCTGTGCTTGAACTTAATAGTTTGGGAATTTTGCTAAAAATATTCTACTTAATAGGTTACAAGACATGACATCAAGGACAAGAAAGCTATGGGAACCATGCCGCAGGTTTATCCACATGTGATTCTTGACAATTTCACGACTAAGGTACCATCGTCTTGATTGCTCATATTACCTAATATGTTTGAGAAGAAAGATAAGACCCCATGGATTAATAGCATTGTTCACAGATTATAATTGTTCTGCAAATCAATGACCACTACTGTTTTCATGAATTTACTACTGACTATGAAATTTCGAGGACTTTCACCCTTTGAAGCACCATTTTGTCCTCTGCTGGTTTGTTTTGGTGCCTGTTTGTATTAATAAACTATCCTGATGGCTTATTAAAAAACCTAATCCTGATGGTATTGTGATTGGATGTGGCGCATTATTCATCTCTATCACTCTATCGCTTTCCCCCTTATTACTGTTCTTACTTTTTCTAAATTCTCCACTCTTTTGGGTTTGCATATGTGGTTCTGCTACACCTTCATCTTATGTATAAATACATCACTCCTATTTGTGAGTTGGCCTTCTTAGTTACCACCCTATCAACATTATATTATATTATCTTATTTCTTCTTGATGTGTTGATAGTTGGGTGAGAGAACAGCAAATATTTTGAAGCATCTCTTTCCAGTGCCAAAGCCAGAAACAAAGCGCATAATCACTTTCGCCAATCAGTCAGACTATATTTCATTCAGGTTTGTTGTCTCATTTGTGCTTCTCTTTTCCCGCTGTGTGATTTAGTAAGTGAGTTTTCTTATTTGCGATTCTATTCTTCGCTAAATGTGTAAGTTTTGCTCTGCTTTTCCGTTAACAAACTGAGAACCTACAGGCATCATACTTATGAGAAGCATGGAGGTCCTAAATCCATCGTTCTGGAGGAGATTGGTCCTCGGTTTGAAATGAGGCTTTTCAAGGTTAGCGCTTTACCTATATGGTCAAGGATTTGTGCTTCTTGCATTGATATCACACTTGCTCTCTTATTTTCAGTTTAATTTACTGTTTTGTATATATTTTTCTATGTTTAGTCTTTTTGCCTTCATGTCTGTTCACCTTTGGTATTGTTTCAAACTGCACCCAAAAGTAATTCAATATGTCTGGTTATGAGGTTACATTCGCTGTGGTAGGTTTGCCCATTGAAGTGTCCTGCCTTGAACATTGTAGCCTTTCTTCCCTATGGCCCAACCCTTTCTCCTGAAAAAATGGTTGGGAAAGGGTGGGTACTATTCTCCAAGACCAAGAATAGTTTAAAACGTAGCCTTAAACTGGAAAATATTGATGTACCTTCCCAGAAATGGCCATCATGGACAGATGAATGGAGTGATTCTTTTTCTTCAAGTTGAAGTTAAAATGAAAATGGTTATACATGACTCGAGTAGACTGCAATGTTTCTTGTATTTTACTTGGTTGGCTATCTCCTTATTCACTGACCAAATATTGGGTTCCAGCCATACATACATACATATGATGATACATTTCATCCACACGATAATAATGTCCGGGGATCCGCATAGGAGAATTTAAATATATATATATATATATAATTGTCTCCAAGAGTAGTTACTAATCACATATAAGGTTTAAACTGGAAAATAATTATGATTTCCCATAATGGCTGTCTTCTATTCCAGTTCAAGTTAAATGTTTAAAGTGGCCATAATGGTTACGGTTGAACCTCGAGGTTTCTATGACTCTTGTACATTGTTTAATTAATATTTCATTGTGTTGTTTTGCTTACGTTTTTTTCTCTCTCTGGTGTTGCAGATAAAGTTGGGAACACTGGATCAGACTGAAGCCCAGGATGAATGGGTCTTCAAGCCATACATGAACACAGCGAAGAAACAGAAGTTTATAGGGACTTGATGTGACTCGATAAACGTTTTGGTGTGGTCATAACACTGTCATGTGGCGTTACTGATTCATGTAAAAACACATAATTTTGCTTTTATTAATATAATATCGTCTACTCATATTATAATATGTGAATTTGTAACATGATGTGAAACGTGTAAAAAACTGAGTTATTCTATCCTGCACAAATGCTGACCTAACTACTAACTAACATTGCATCACTTTTTGTTTGGTATAAACATAATTTATCTTCTCCTTTAGCTAAAACCACCAAGTTTGCACGCCGTTTCTTGTTAATCTTCCATACCTATCAGCATGAATTTTCACCTCAATCCAACAATTTCGCGTACTTTTACTTGCTCATTAAAAGTGGCATAGGATTCTGAGTAGCCCTTGGAAACCAAGCATCCGATTGTTTGGGAGTGCTTCTTCCTGAAGCGCTTATGCCAGTAGCGCTTATGTCAGTATCGCTTATGACATAAGCGCTTCTACAAAGAAAAAGTTTGTCGTTTGGATGTCACATTTAAAAGTGCTTTTACATTACATAAAAGTGCTTTTGATATTTTGTTGAGTGTTTGGCTGACACAGTAAAAGCGCTTTTAAAGAGTGCTGCTATTTCCACCCCTCTCTCTGTCCTATTTTCCCACCCACCTTATCTTCAAAAAATTTAAGACAAATTTACCCATTTGTAAAATGACTTCTAAGGACTTAGGGACAAAACCAATCTCCCTCACCTAAGAGTGAGCAACCATTTTATACCAGCCATTGGATTAATCTCACAATACAGAGAGCCTTTTATTAACTTAAATTCTTGACCCGCATATTGCACACAACTTCTTCTTCCTCATCTAGTCATCTCTTTGTTTAAAGCTTCCCAAAGTTTTACTATTTTTCCATCATAAATCTGATTTCTCTTAAAGGTACTATCATATTCTCTGCGAAACAAACGTGGGCAAAATTAATTTTCCCTTCAAAGGCTCCTATTGTCCTTTTAAAATTTCATGAAATTCTATATCATGAAGTTGTTTTATTTTCATCTATTCGCTTCAAACAACAAGCGATTTGTATTATTTGATTGAGGGAGATCAACATGATAGGAGCCTAGGGACCATAAGCATTCGAACCTTGCTTTAACTTCATGTTCTTCAACCACATATGTATTAAAATAAATACATAAGAAATTAAAGAAGACCTAAAAGAAAATAAATACCCAAATCCCCTCTTCTACCGCACACAACCCCTCTCATCACAAAGCCCATGAGTCACCTCCTCTAGGATGAGAAAGAGGGATGAACTCTTGAAAGAACCACAATTGGCTTGGAGGAAAGAAAGGGGGATTTCCCTTAATACGGGTCAGGAAATAAAACGAATATAAGTTGGATTTTTGAGAGAATTTGCTTTGAATTAATAATTAAATGGTATTTTAGGAATAATGGTGGGTGGAAAGATAGGATTGTGTTTTTTTAAAATTTACATGGTGGGTGGGAAGATAAGGTGGGTGGAGAAATAAGACAGGTGGGTGGAAATAGTAACACTCCTTTTAAAAGTACTTTAAAAAAATTTAAAGAATCCCAAAATATTATAATTAAAAATTCACAGGATCCCAAAATAAAAACACGACTTAAAGTTGTGAAGAACCATTGAAACAACAACTATTTGTATTTGTTTTTCATAGGAAAATTATGCATCTATGGTATCATTCTCCAACAACGATAATCTAAGGATGACTTCGACTCACTCATGAATACTAATTGTGTTCATAGTAGGATTTAGGAACATAATCCATAACGAGGATTATGCCTGCCAGTTGTGTTCATACTAAACTAAGAAATCCTCACTTTTGGTTTTTCACCTTCATATGAAATTATGAATTCTTTCAATCTTCATATTCCTCACTTTGGTAGCACACCTAAGTGCTATATATATATATATATATATAGAGAGAGAGAGAGAGAGAGAGAGAGAGAGAGAGAGAGAGAGAGAGAGAGCTAAAGAGTTGCATATTCAAGAAGAAGAAGAAAAAACAAGTTATTTCTACTAATTCTAGAATCAACAATAATGGATTCTGAAGCTTTTGGAGCTGAAACTGGCAGCAGCAACAGGGTTTTAAGCATACTGCTATTAATCATAGAGCTCTGATACCAGTGGTTGGTTGCGAGATTTCGATGTCATGGATGGTGATTTTAGTGTCTCTAATGTTGTGCCTTAACATATCAACATTGCAGACGAATTTAATGTTGATGCATATTGACAATCGTAAATGTCTGTTCGTCCAAAAAAAAAAAAATCGTAAATGTCTGTGATAGTTTTAATTTTAATAGGAGAGAAAAAGAGAGAGAAAAAAGAGAGGGTATTTTAGCATTTAAAAAAAAATAAGTATGGGTATTTTCGGCATTTTAAAAGTTTCATTAAATGGAGCCAAGTGCTTCCCGTGTTTTTGTCCTGCAGCACTTTTAAGAAGAAGCACATCTTAAGTGCTTCTTCCAAAACCATTCCAAGTGCTTTTGGATCGCACCCAAAGTGCTTTTGCAATTTTTGCGAAACACCATTTTTAAAAGATAAAAGCGCTTTCACCCTTTTAGAAGCGCTTTTCACTGCTCCAAAAGCACTCCCAAACAAGCTCTAACTTAGCAGGCGATCCATTTTTTTTATGGAGTGCAGCATGTTACCATATGCCATGTTTATTTCACATAATAAATCATTATACAGCTCTCTGTTCCCGAAACAGCTTAAGGCACCACCTTTTCCCAAAATGCACTATTCAGAACGAGGTTGCCTAAAACTAAACTAGTCCCATCAAAATGCATTTTTATCTGCAATTATCAAAATTCATTTCCTGCTCAAGTGTCTCTCTCTTTGCCCACGCAACAATGCAGCACAGCACTCATAAAGATATAATTTCAACTTCCAGAGCTGATGTGAAGAAACATACGGAATAATAGAGGATGATAGACAAGCACTTTGGGTGCCGTTTTGTGGATTCTGCTTTGAGAGTCTCTTGCTTCATGAGAATTGTAGAGATAAATAGAAGTATATGAATTGAGTGAAATTGTTGAAAAAAAAAAATTGAGTGAAATTAAAAAAGATTCGGATGATTCATGAATTGCCGATTTAATCTAAACTTGTACATGCCAAAAGCTTTTGAGGGCTTTTGGAGAACACTGCGATGCCCCAGTCCTTTTGTAGGTTGATGTTCAACTGCAATGCGTTACTTGTTGATCAAGAAAGGCTCGCCTAGGCCCTTAATTTGGGCTTGACGTCCCTTTCATCAGATGCATTAGGTGTGCCACTACTAGTGTTTTACTCTTCTATTAGAAAGAGAGAACGAGTGATCTAATGATGTGAAGATAGTGTTGCGCTCGTGTATCTTAACTTCTAACCAAAGCCATTGTGCTCCCTCAGTTCTTGCACTTTTAGCTGGCCCAAAACAAGCTTAAAAGGTCAATCTGCATGGTTCAAATCATATTTAATATGGTTGTCTTGCACCGCATGACTTTCCATCAGTTGTCGAAATCACTTACCTTGTCACTAAGCATGGGAAGCAAAAGTCGATGGCCCAGTATAGTTCAGGTGGATGTATCCTGTAGAGAGGTAATGTATGGTTTATAAGTTATTTTTGTATAGATTGTCTTTGATTTATATTTTCAAAAAAAAAAAAAAAAGTTCTAATGTTTAATACTTATACAGGTATTTGCACAAGCTAAAGAGTTATGTTCACAATAAGGCTCACCCAGAAGGATCTATTGCGGAAGGTTACTTGGCAGATGAATGCGTAACATTTTGCTCTCGCTATTTGAGTCATGTTGAAACTAGATTTAGTCGTACATAGAGAAACTATGATGGAGGACAACCATCATCTGATGCATCTAAACTATCCATATTTTCAGCATCTGGTAAAGCTTTTGGGAAAAGTGAATTAAGGGAGATGAGTATTGAGCTTCACAGGGCTGCCACATATTATGTCTTAACCAATAATGATGATTCTGAGCCTTTTATTCAGTAAGAAATCTTCACACTCATTGAGAGAATATGAGCATACATTAACTTGTTTGTTAACATATGCATTGTTATCTCATGCGTGCAGAGAACATAAAAATTCTCTAGTCCACTCTGGAGTCCAAGATGTGGATGGGACACATAGGCATCAATTTGCCAATTGGTTTGAAAAGAGAGTAAGAAAATATTTTTTTGTTTGCAATTTCACTTTAAGTGTTGGGATCATATAAAGGTCATTGAAAATATATATTTTTCTTAACTTGTAGATTGAACAACTATACAAGGACGGGAAAGTGAGTAAGGAAATGCTTGCTTTGGCCCATGGTCCTGAAAGGCGAGCCACTTACTATTCTGGTTACAATATGAGCGGATTTAGGTTCCATACCTTGCATCGTGATGAGAATTAAAAAAAAAAACACAAAATAGTGGTGTCATGGTTAAAGGGGAGAATCAAATTGATGATGTTCCTTGGTATGGAACATTAACAGAAATTGTAGAGCTTTGTTATACACAGAAGAAAAGGGTTGTATTGTTCAATTGCAATTGTTATGATACAACCCAAAGAGGAAGGGGTTATAAGATTGATCGCTATGGGATTACAAGTGTTAACACAACACGCAAGTTACATACTAAGGATCCATTTGTGTTGGCAAGCCAAGCAACACAAGTATTATTTTATGTCAAAGAAATAAAGAATAAGACATGGAGTGTGGTGGTGGAAACGAAGGCTAGAAATGTTTATGAAATGCCTAATGATGAAGGAGAACCATACCAAGAAGATGGGGCTCAAAGGTGTATACACGCAACTACCAACCAAAATGAAGACGAAAGTAATGATATTAACAACAGTGGGGATGAAGGGTGGAGATGAGGACGAGGATGAGACTAATCATATGGATTTGGAATGAGATATAGTGTGATTCTGTTTATTGCATTATTTGGTGTCATAAATTTTTTATTTATAAATGGGTAGTATTTTTATTTATGTTTGGAATACTGAAACTCTTTGGTTATTTCAGTTGCTATTATATTTGGTGGAGTATTTTTTATTACTGCTTTGATTGTTTTATGTCTAATTCTATTATAATAGTATTTCTTTCTAGTATTGTCTATTTTGCTAATGAACACAAATGGTAGCTATGGCAAGAAAAGGAAGGAGTCGCAATACA